ACATATATAAGAAAAATCCAATTCACTATTACTAGCCATCATTGTACGAGCTACGAGTTGAAGAGGATAATATGAAATCACTGCAACCAGTCAGCCATCGACTCTATACTTCAGTTGTCAGCTATCAGCAAAATAAAATAAATGAAAGTATAAAATACTAAGACAAATAACAAATGAATGAAAAAGAACAAAAATATATGAAAATAGCAAAAGAAAAAAATAAATTAGATTAATTATTAACACAATGGGCAGGATAATCCCAACTGACGGTAGGTTATCAATTCGCAGCAGACAATGGCGAGTAATAGAGTGAGGTCATGGACAAAACCATCGAAAACATGTCCATATTAGACAACACGTGGCCTTCCATCCAACACGGAGCCAATAACAGAGTTAAGTCATGGAGAAAACCATCCAAAACATGTCCATAGTAGGCAACACATTGCCTTAATACTTGTAGAGCAAATCAAATCAAGTTAAATGTGTAATTATAAATAAATTAAAAATTGAACAGAATTAGTGTTAGCCTGATCGACTAAAGATTTTGATGCCAAAATTTCGTATGTGCTCTCAGTGTTTTGATTTGGTCATCTTCACTATGCTTGATGACTTGCTAGAGATTGCACATGGGCATTCTCTGAAGGATTATTGGAACACGGAAGGCACCGTTATCCTTGCAATGAAGGATAAGGCACCGTTATCCTTCCAACCTTCTTTCTTTCTTTTTTTCTTTTCCTTAAAGGAATGAATGATTTCATGCATTAAGATGATATTGTCCTGAATATTTCTCCTCGGAATGAATGCCATTTAGGTTGGAGAAATTATCTGAGGAAGAAATTTTTTGAATCTATTTGCTATTATTTTAGTGACCACTTTATAAATAGTATTACACAGACTAATGGGACGGAAATGAGTTGCCTGATCAGGAATTTTCTGCTTTGGGATTAGGACTATATATAAGTTATTTAATTCCTTAGGCACCCCCCCTTCAAAAATATCCATGATGACAACAGTGACATTTGGGCTATTATGTCCCAATAATTAATAAAAAATTCCACTACAAGTCCATTTGGACATGGATACTTATTTTTGGGAAGATTAAAGAAAGTATTCTTGATTTCATCCACAGTGATAGGATCAAAAAAGTACCTCAACTCCTTTGGGTAATTCCCAATTCTAGGGTTTAGATTCTAATTATGGTCATGGATTTCAAGGTCTGAATACAAGCTTTGAAGATGATTAATGGATAGACTTTGAATTTCCTTATTATCATAAATCCATTCATTATTGTTCTTAATAGCCACAGTTTTGTTGGAAACTCTTCTTCTTAGAGTTGTTAAATAAAAAAAAAAAACTAATGTTAGAATTACCCTCTTTTAACCACAGGACTCTCAATTTTTGCAACCAAAATATCTCTTCTTGCTTAAGAATTAAATTATATTCATGCTGAAGCTCCCTTTCTAAGCTATGAAGAAAACTAGATTGTTTCATTTCAAAATATTTTTGAATTCCCTCTAGCCTTCTCGGGATATAACTTTTTCTTTAAAATAAATTACTGGAACTATCCCTATTCCACACCTTAGCTAGCTTATGCACTTTATTAACCGCTCTAGCATATAATGAAATAGATGTCATTGCATATCCCTTGGTCCAAAAACGCTTGAATATGGTTTGTTAACCAAATATGTTCAAGTCTAAATGGTTTGTTAGCAGATGGAATCACACCATGTTATTCATCTCTTTGAAAACTACTATATGGTTAACCCAATTTTCCCTTCAAGTAGATAGGTTAGTTCAATCAATTAGATAGATAGATAAATAGAAAAATTAGCAAATTCATCAAAACCTTGTGAAAAAAGTGAAAAACATTGAAAACTGTCCAAGTTTCAAACAACTCAACTAATTTTCAACAACTCACCCGATCACTAAATTATCACAAATCATAAAATGATGATAAGAATATTCAAGCCAATAAACCTTTTTCTTGTGTAAAATAACACATTACAGTTGATACAATCATGCTAGTTTTTTCCTTAACAGAACATGAGTTAAGAGATTTGAGCCATGGTTAATTACTTGTGACTTGTATTAAAAATTTAAAACCAATAAAAACAAACATCTAACATAACTTGCATATAGGGAGAGATGCAAACGGATCGGATTGGATTCAAATTGGGGTATATCCGAATCTGATCTTACACTGTTAATTGTAGATCCGATCATTTTTGTTTTCTTTAAAAATTAATAAATTATTAAAAAATATACACATTTAAATAAAGAAAAACAAAAACACAAGCATTTTTTAATTATGTTCACCATATATATCCATGTTTTTTATAAATAAATAAATAATATAACAAATTAAAAAATACAATATAAATAATATATTTATAAATAAATAACATATATATATATATATAAATATAACATATATATCGAACCAAATATTATTGGATTGGATAGGGGTGATCCGAATCTGATTCGATTTGAAGATCCGAACTAGGGTGATCCGAATTTGACCCAATAGGATTGATCTGATCCATTTGCACCCTTACTTATCCATATGATGTCATGGGTCACTTGGTTAACCTAGTAGTTTGATCATTTGTCCTGTGACCCAGTAGCCTTTTTGGTTTTGTGAATATTGGTCCCTTTTGCAACATCTATACTATATAAAAGTATATACTTGCCTCGGATTCCATGCAAGTTGTAAAAGTTAAACCAAAATACCATATAGCATATAGTATATATGGTTAATATTTACTTACACTAATTACTTGTTATGTCAACATAGTAAAAGGTTTAACAACAACAACAATACTACTACTTGGTTGGGTTAGCCCAAACCCAATGTAAAAATAGTCAAGCAACCTAACTATTGGGTAGGGTTAGGTAGATTTTTGCCAATTTGATTTCATTTCATGTTAGGTTGGAGTTGACCCCTCAGACCATCCAAACCCTTATATAGTATAAATTTACATGTTATTGTCTATTTTGTTTGTTTTGTTTTCTTCTACCACACTTTCCCATACATGTTATTGTGGTTAATGTATGTTATACCAAATTATTGGTTTAATCTTGTTATTGTCATTAGTGATTTTAATTTAATGGTTTTATATTGTACTATTGTTGATTTCATATAATTTTATATTGTTAATAGGGGACCAATCATAATTCATAATGGACTCTAATCATTTGAAACATTCATATTTTCCCCACTCTTGCTTAAAAAAAACAATAAAAAGCATAAAACAAGCAAATACCAATAAAAAATATGACCAATATATAGCCTTTTTTGAAGGCTATAAAATTTAAACAAGATTAATTGAAGAAAGATTAGGTCAGGCCTGACTTGATCCCAACCCAACTTGAAGTCAACTTCAAATTAGGTTGGGGTTTAGAACCTCATATTAGGCTAGGGTTGGCCTCAACCCAGCCTGACATGGAGACCTATTGGCAAGTCAACAAATAGTTAAAGAAATAAAAGAGTAAAACCACCTAGGATATGGATTGTTGACTAAGTAGATCAAAGAAGAAAGGTGCCAACTAGCTGGTTAGTAAGGTCTCCTGTTGGTCATAGCTGAGACTTGGGATCAAATCCCGCCTACACTTGAGTTTGGGGGGGGGGGGGTATGGGTTGGGGGATGGGCTACCCTCTGTTGTGTAACCCTTCAAAAGAAATAAAAAAAACTAGATCAAAGAAGGGTTGAAAACATTGGTCACGCATGTATGTGAGTGACGATAAACTTTTGTCACAGGAGAGATAATGCTTTATTGAGACATTGCAATCTCTTATTTTAATTTTTGAAATTGTAATGTTTCCCTTCACATAATACCAAGGATTAAACTAACAATTTGATATGCTCCATATCGGATGTATTGTATTTGGTATCCATGACCACAGATATGAGATACGTCATGACTGGGTTTGTATTACATGAGTTGTGCATATTAATACAATATGCCTTTGTTTTGGTGGATATAGTTGTATTAGTGTTTGGTCTGATGACTTTGTAGTTTGACTATTTTTTGACTTAACATGTGCATGTGACCAGCGTTTTTTTGGTTGGGAATCATTCTCATATGCAAGAATAAAAAAACAAAAAAAGGAAGAAGAAGAAGAAGAGGAAGAAGAGGAAGAAGAGCACGAGTATGACAAAAAGAGAAGGAGAATAAGACCACAACATTTTTTCCAAGGTATATTTTCTCATTTAATTTTTTTTTTAAATTAATTTTTATTTTGTAAGGTATATTTTGTACATATTTTTAAAATGAATTTTTGTTTATTATTTGAAGAAATAAATAAATAATTTCCCCTAAATTTTTAATAAAAGCTGAAAATTATAAAAATAATTATTTTATCTACTTGAAATGATTTATATGTTTTATTTTACAACTATATGTAAAATAAAACAATTATGTTAAAACAAAACATATTTATTATTTGAAAAATAGTTATTATTTATATAAAAATACTAAATAAATAATTATTCCCATAAATTTTAATAAAAACTGAGAATATAATTATAAAGACTAAGATAAATAATTTAAGATCTAATTCCCCCAAAAGGTATAATAACAGAGTTCTATATCATCACCAAATCATCACGTTTAATGTGTTTTTTAATAAATTTTCATTAGATTAAAATCTTAAACATTATTTGATGATTATTAGTAATATTCTTGTATGATGTGTACATGCTCAAGAATCTCCATATTATCATTTATAATGTTTCTCTTCATATAAAATAATAGTTAATTTAGAATAATAGTTAATTTAGATTTTATAATAGTTAACATTATATTAGTTAATTTAGATTTTATAATGTTTCTCTTCATTTCTCAACTTTATTTAAATTAATAATTAATTTAGATTTTATATTAGTGCTATTAATATATATATATATATATATATATATATATAAAATTTGTATGCATTTCTCTAATATCTTCAGACAATATCAATACTTTCAATAATTTCATAACCAACTCTCCTACCAAAAAATCATAACAGGGCTAGGATGAAGTGATGTATTTCCTATTGCTAGAATTATGTATATTGCAGCTTTTTTTAGTTTAAAGTTCTAAACTTATATATCGTATCTACGAGCTTTTAAGAAATTGGAACTTTGGAATAAACGAGAAAGTATTTAGCTCTAATGTACATTTAGAGATCTGCATCATTCTTTTACAATTTTACGTAGGGAGGAAAAAAAATCGCCGGAAACGAACATTCAGATATCACCGTAGACTCGTCCGATATCCGAATTGAGAGGTAAGTTATGCCAATTTCGCCGCTACATACTCAGATACTCTCCTACCCAATATATATTTCCTATGTGTTCGCTCTTCTAAGAAAGAAATTCATTCTCGTGTATCGTATCTTATTTCTTCTTCGTCATTAGTTGAAGCATATTCAGCTTCAACGTCTTGCAACGTTATTGTTGCAGTCTTTTTGCCAATTGAAGTCCCCGGGAGCTATTCTTCTCCAGTCATGTAATCTAGGGTTTCTTATAAAGCATAGCGTTTTCTTCTCGGGATCCAATACTATTTTGTCATCTTTTTTCTTCAGGGGTGGGTCGGTTGGGTTATTTGGTACCGAAAGTAGGAGGTAGGTGCAAAAATCTAGTATCTCATTCAACTGCATTTTAAGATTCTTCCATCGAACGGAGTGTTTTATTGGATTGCATAGCGAGATTCTAGAATTACTTATTCTCCATTTTGACCGGTTTGAATGAAGCGTACTGATGTCATTGTTCTGGATTGTCATGGGTCAGCTTGCAGCAGCGGACGAAGAAATGGTAATTGGTCCATCACCTTCCTTTAATGTGGGTTATGGTTATATGCTGTTCACTTGTACAGAGAAGTTTGTTAAGCATATGTAATATAAGTTAGAAATTCATTTATTATGCAGTCCACATCAAAGAAAGTGATTACGAGGGAAGAGTGGGAGAAAAAGCTCAATGATGTAAAGGTTAAGAAAGAAGATATGAATAAGCTGGTGATGAACTTTCTTGTTACAGAAGGTTATGTTGAAGCTGCAGAGAAATTTAGAATGGAGTCAGGCACTGAACGTATCCTTACTTTCTGGTCTTTGTTTATTACAATCTTGTTTAGTACTATTTAAAGTTGTTTACTTCATTTACAATTGTATGCTATCCTTATGAGTAAACAGCAGACATAGATTTGGCAACCATAACAGATCGAATGGCAGTAAAAAAGGCAGTGCAGTGTGGGAATGTAGAGGATGCAATTGAGAAAGTTAATGACTTAAATCCTGAGGTAGGATGCTCCATCTATCGCTCTATGTTCATATTCAGGAGAATTTACACCTAGTTTTCACATCATGATCATCTATTAAAGAACTTGGAACTCTGGGAGGTTGACTTAATCAGGTCTTCTGATAGCTTCCATGCATCTGAGAATTAGGAAATCTGAGCTTTGTTGTGTGAATTCTATTTTATTGATTTCTGACAACACATATTCATAAAGAAAGAATGCCTATGCATAATGGCAAAACTGAACCAAAACCAATAAAAAGAGATAGAAGGCACAAAGTTTCTATATATATATATAGTTCCTTAGATTGTTCTGGTGTTTGTGGTAGTGGGTTTATATGGGTGTTATGATAAATGTGGTTAAATGTCAAGAAAAAAGGTATAATATGGGAAAAAAGTTCAGAGAATGTTTGTTCTGTTGCTATGGTGTTCGCTTAACAATTCATATGAAGAATAAGCTTATATGGAGGAGTTTTAACTGACATATATGTTTACCTTGGGAGGTTGGATTTTTTAACATATCATTTATTGGTTTTTATCTGGATGGTTAACTTTGGAATCATAGATTTCTATCGCAGGGGCGGATACCACAGTGGGTAGAAACTAGAAGATACTGGTTTTAAGCATTTATTTTGGAGGGTCTGTCATGACTTGTAGTTGATAATTAGCTAGATAGATTTTCCTTCTGGTGCCATTTTGATTGTAATTTTTTAACAATCAAGTCTCACATGTCACTTCTGCCTGTAGCGTCTTAATAAGCTGATATTATGATTTTATTAAACTAATTTTAGACTTATAGTATTATCCATCTGGTTTGTCTGAGGATTACTTGCAGTTTGCATGTTCAACTACAGATATCTTTCGATTATATGCCCTTTAAGATCTAGATTATCATAAACAAATATTGATGACTCCAAACCCTGCATTCCTTACAGTTTGTTCTAATAGCAAACAACCAAATGTCCATGAAATATCCAAAAGTAAAAGAAAAGAAAAATGAAAATATCTATTGTTTTATTTTCCATTACACAAGAGGACTAAAACTCAAACTTGTAGCCTTTTTTTTTGTTTTTTGATAAGTACTCAATTTATTGTCTTATTTGAACTTTGGCTTTTGCTATGTTCTACCAAATCTTAGTAAACCTAAGCAAGGACCCCTAAAGAACCTTATACTCTATAAGAAGCTGTTGGATAATTTGTTGAAGATGCTCCAAAAAGTACCCAATCTGCTAAAACATCTACTCAAGTTTGAAGATATAAACTTCCTAGATGATTTCAGTCCTGTCAAAAACTTTTATTTGCTCAAAGGAGAAGACAATATTAGGTTTTGGATGCTCCAAAAAGTACTCAATCTGCTACAGAAAGATGCTCAAGTTTGAAAATATAAACTTTCTAGACAATTTCAACCGTGTCAAAAACTTTTATTTGCTCAGAAGAGAAGACAATATGAGTCTTGTCATTCAACTATTGCAACTATAGTCTCAATGATGTAATGTACTCAAGGTTTTTGGGATAATATTTGTTATGTTGAAAGGTTGTAAAGGTCTATGGTGGCATCCAAATATGGGAGCAATCTGACATTGTTTCACATGAAAGGATGATAACTATTGAAACAGAAAAATTCGGATTTCAACATAAACTTGAATAAACATACTTGAATCAATTTCAGGCCTTTAGAGATGTTCAACTCTTGGTTAAGAAATTCCTTGCTGTTGATAAGCTACTAATCAGGGGAATGAGGATAGAAAACAGCAACTGTATGTTATGTCAAGAAACTGCTTATCTCACAATTACCTCTTCCTCCATTGAAAAATATCAACATCCATCTGGGCTGTAGATCTCAATACTTTTGGGGCCTGCTTCTGTCACCTGGAGACCTTAGAAGCCCTTTTAAAATGGCTGGTGTGTGGGTGGTCTTAGTGCCAGGGGTTGTATCATTTGGGAACTACTTCCACCAGATGTTCTTTGGATGATTTTGGGTAAAAGGACCACCTGCTTTTTTGAACATAAGAGCTGCAGTATTGATGAGCTTAGAAGGAATATAGATGCATCCTTCATTCTTGGTTACACAGATCTAGAAGATTCAGGGGTGTCTGATAGCTATGATTATAACCCTAGCAAGTGCACTAGTTATCAAGTAGTATAAAAATATCGTTCCCACGAGGATTTAACAAAATAAGTATTAGAACTACAGTCTTCCCTAATTATTTGGACAATCGAATTTCAGAATTAAGAGTAAAAGCTACTAAAAAACAGAAAAAGAAAACAAGAGCAAGAGTACCAATACTGAAGTATGCAACGATTGACTGAATTCGCTAGGACCTTTGGTCCGCCTAACCATTCCAACGAATAGTAATAGATGAGATTATCCAAGATAATTTGTCATTCCCATAAGCTGAAGTTT